TTGGACTAGAAGATCTCAGAGGTCCTTTCCAGCCCCGTAATTCTAAGTATCTGCCTTTTGGCACACTTTAGGCCCTTAGTTGTCATGGCTGTGAAACAAAAAGCTGTTCTTGGAACCATTTTCAAGATTACTATTGCTTGTTTCATGGTCATAGTATCTTTAGAGTATCAATAGGCGATATGCTGACAGGAAGTGTGAGGAAAGGGGCTTGATAGGCAAAAATTGCATGTGTCTCTATGACTCCAAGCTGAATCGTATTCCTAGCCTGGAAATCTCTCTGATAAATGGCTTGAGGCCTAATTCGCATGGGAACGAATTAGGTCCACTAATCTGGGACAAAATGGCTACTTCTGAGGAAGCCTCTCAGAATTCAGCCCAAACTGTGAGGGATTAGGTGCTACCCTGCTGCCTGGAGAGAGGCACAACTGTTGAAACATTTAGGACAGTATACTTCTGTCTTGGTTCTTCAATGATACTGTTGAGACTGTGAAAGGGTGGTGGCGGCTGGATTTTTGGGGGCAGGGGAGTCAGTTTCTTAGCTCACTTTTGTCTCTCTGATTGCTCATCCCATCCCACAGGTATAGCTGGCATCACAGCATGGCCCATTTCCTCCTTTCCCTCATGGCTGCCCAGACCCCCCCCTCCCCCCGTTGCTTTTACTCAAGAGGGATGAAGCACCACAGGTTTGAGAGAAGCAGCATTTGGCACGAGCCTCACACCTGAGCTGCCATCCTAGCCAACAGGTGACATCCCTCACCTTAGCCCAATCTTTGGCTCCTTTCTTATGCCCGGCACGGGGAAATGGAGGGGAGGTTCTAGCCATGAATTACATTCAGTGTTCAAGGACTCGTCTTGCAGGCTGAGACCAGAGAGGGCCCCATAGCAGTGAGCAGAGAAATACCAGCGGATCGGACCTCTCCCTGTTCCTCCCCCCTCCCCCCCCCGTCTTGTAGACATCAAGGTGCGGCTGCATCACCTGGGCAGAATGATTGGAAAACTCAAAAGTTCTGGCGGCTGGAATCCCCCAGGGAGAAGGGGATCTGGGCTCACCTTACCCTGTTCAGAGACAATTTCATTTACACCTAAAAGTATCAAACGGGCCAGCCTTAAGCACGGCATGGTACTGAACGGCCGCAGGGATGAGCAAAGGGGCCAGAGAGTTAAAAACAGGAACCAATGTGGCAAAGAAGATGCCCTGGTAGTTTGTGACGACAGCAGCAGTAGCAGCAACAACAGCGGCAGCGTCTTGGCACCAGCTCTGGCATCACGAGAAGGAGGACCCTGCTGGATGCTTCTCCCAGAAAGGAGGAAATCTTGAAAAGGAAGTATTAAAAATCCCGGCGGCGTCATTCCTTTTTGAGCATGACAGTTGGAATGGGCGCGTTTCCCTCCCCTCAGAAGCAGGAAAGGCAAGTTGGGGAAGCCAATCAGCAGAAGGGAATACGAGTCAAAGCTGGCAGTTCATGAGGGATGACCATGTCTCTGGAAACGGCACGCAGGTGAGGTCGGCGGATTCGGAGACCGTGGAGTGGGGCGGGGGTTTCCCCCCCTGGTTGGCAGCCGCAAAAAGAAAGGCCATGAGGGAGATGAGGAGGGAAGGATGAGAGTCCAGTCCAGGTACCAGTGAAAGGGGCTTCTTGCCTCTTCTACATTATATCCTCTGTGAAGATGAAAACATATTCGTCAGTAAAAATAATAATAATAATAAATCGATGCTTTCTGCAAAACGGCACGGTTGCACAGGGTTCCGTGTATATAAACTGCACAGAGGTGAGGAAATGCAGGGACCACAAAAACTCTACAACAAGGGTGTCAAAGTCAAGGCCCGTGGGGGAAATCTGGCCCGCAGAGTGCTTAGATCTGACCCTGGAAACAGCGAAGGACCGGCCCGCGGTACCTCTGCCAGCGAAAATGGAGCCCGGGAGGGCCGCTGGCAGAGGGCTAGCAAAAGAAACTCAAAACAAAACAAAAGGAGCAACATTTCCCCTTTTGCATTTGAGCATGGAAGAAGGGACAGGAAAGGACAAAGAAAAAGAAGGGACGATGGGAAGAGAGCAAGGAAGGAAAAAGAAGAAAAGAGGAAGAGGAAAGGAGAATGAAGATGGAAGGAAAAAGGAAGGAAGGAAGGAAGGAAGGAAGGAAGGAAGGAAGGAAGGAAGGAAGGAAGGAAGGAAAATTATGAGAATGAGGGAGGGTCTGAGAGAAGTCCTGTCTTCGGACCTGACCACCACAGGTGCCCCGACACGAGTGATGTCAAGCTGGCCACGCCCCCTGCCCCCCCCCAAAGGTCAAACACAACCCTAATGCGGCCCTCAAGGAAATCGATTTGACACCCCTGCTCTACAACCACCTAACCCTAATTGACTCAGGAATTGCTGGTTTCCATACAATGTGTAAGTTAAAAATATATATGCCGCGTTTGTGAGGTTTTCCTTCTGGCCATTATACAAAGGGGAGAGGAAGCTGGAGCTGTAGTCCTCTCTTGCTTTGAGGTTTTCTTTTCATTGGGCCTGTCAAGTTTTTATTGATTTGGGGGCCTCGGGTTGTTACTCTTTGTGACCCAGCTGAATGTTGGAAAGTAAATTGTGTGGTTTCTCTGCCCACCAGCAGACTAACCCTCTCAAAACAAACATGGGATGGGAGAAGAAGCAAGACGAGTTTAAAAATGGGTTGGATGCTGAGGAAAAAAATCCAGAGGGGAAAAACAACTTAGTGTATGTATCTGTATGCGAGGGGCAACTGGGCTGTGGCTTGTGGCTATTCCCGATGTCTCCATTGTTAGCTCTCTTCGTTTCTGGTCAAGTGACTCAGAGCAGAGAGTATGCAGCCACTCTATGCTTCTCACTGTACATGTACATGCATGGTTGCAACATGAGGGGAAAACAGAAATACAGAATCAACCCATAAGCCTCACTCCTGAATCATGCACATACATGCAACATATATGGACATTCTCTGATTGGACATTGGGATAGATAGCTCTTCCTCTCCCTCCCTCCCCCCCACTCCGTCTCTTTCTCTTTGTATGTGTTTCTCTCTCTGTCTCTCTCTCTTCCTGTCTCTCTGTCTCTCTGTTTCTCTCTCTCATACACACACACACACAAACACACACAAAATTTATTGCTTCATTACACCGAAGAAAATACAAACTCCTCCTACGGCCACTGCTGCCAAAGGAATTGGTAAGACTTCGAGAAGCTGATTGTATGCGCGAGTTCCTTCTTTTCTCTTGGATGAAGCTGAAATTAATGATGCTATTCTGTTCCTGCAGTCAGATTCATTGACTGTGCGTGGCCTTGGAGACTGGAGCTCCAATCTCAAGGAAAAGGGGAAACTGCCTCTCAGGCCTTGAAAACGGGTCCCTTCCTGCATTCTTAACTGCAGGCTGATGTCACATTCCCACCCATTCAGATCAGGAAGGTCTCCTGATCTGGAGTCCTTTATTATAATCTCTGAGCAGCTCCCACTCAGATGAAAGAAGAATACAGGTAGTCCTCAACCTACAGCTACAACTGACCCCCCCACACACACCTGTTGCTAAGCGAGAAGTTTGTTGTGAATTTTGCCCCATTTTACGACCTTTCTTGCCACCATTGTTAGGTGAATCATTCCAGTTGTTGTTAATAAAATGGTTGTTAGATGAATCACATGACCCCGAGACACGGCAATTGTCATAAATATGAGTCAACCGCCAAGCGTATGAATTTTGCTCCCATGACCATGGGGGATGCTGTGAGGGGCATAAGTGTAAGAAGTGGTCGTAAGTCGCTTTTTTAGTAATGTAACTTTGGACGGTCACTAAATGAACTGTTGGAAATCGAGGACTTCCTGTACTGCATTGTGCAGAAAATCGGGAAAAGACTGCTTGTGCTCTGCTTAATTACTTAGAATTATACATATAACGTACAGGATGGTCTTTGCAACACGTCACAGAATCTGTGAATATTGTAAGACCCACGGTGGCGCAGTGGTTAGAGTGCAGGACTGCAGGCTACTTCTGCTGACTGCCGGCTGCCTGCAATTTGACAGATCGAATCTCACCAGGCTCAAGGTTGACTCAGCCTTCCATCCTTCCGAGGTNTCAGCTCTAGAATTGAACAGGGGGCTTCCAGTTAGGACCTTTGTGGCTCCCGGTGTTTTCTTTTCTGTGTGGGAAACAAGTCAAACAGCTCTTTGAGTGTTTAAGTTTGCCGACCCCTGGTCTAGCCTTATCTTTGAATGTAGTTTGCAATCACAAAAATGCAAACATATTTCTCTGCTTGCAAAAGGACATTTTCAGCCTTCTAGATACAATACGTAGGCAGGTATGTAAGCAGACAGACAGGGAGAAAGGAAGGAACAACAAATATGACCCAAGTCTGGGAACAAAGTCCAACTGAAGGACACCCTGAAGGACACCCAGAATGTCTCTACTTTATATTTCCTGTCTCACAAGCTGGAAGGATGGAAGAAGTTCTGTGCTATCTCCAAACCTCAGAGGATTTCTCAGCTACTTGTCATCTTCCATTGCAGTTGTCACTACACTGTAATCTGTAATATTAGCTAGAAAGTAAAATACATTTCTCTCAATATATTTCTCTTTAGGCCTCTGACTTGGTTTCCTTTCATGCCTTGGTGAGGAATCAGGCGAGCCTGCAATCTTGCATCTTCTCACCTGGGAACAATCCCTAATGCAAGCAATCATACTGCCTTCTGAATATTCCCATATGCCTGTTTAAGAATCAATTGCAAAATGTAAAGTCAGCGTAGTTACCATAATAAGGAATCTGGTCACAGTTAACTATGTTTAACTGGAAATGCCTCGTATAAAAAGGGAATCCAAGGGAAATTTTTTTTATTTAAAAAAAAAGTACTTTTTTTGGCTCACTCAAATATGTGCCGTGGCAAAAAGATGGGCAAAGAGAAAGAAAAAAAACCATTACTAATCCAGGAATAGATCACCCTTAGACACATGAATTACCTCCTTGTTTGCCGAGTTTAACAGGATACAAGACTCCTACCTGTCCAGCCACGTCAGCAAAGCCTTAGCAGCACCAATGAGTTCTACCACGGAGGTAAGGAATTCATTAGGAGGTTTGCGTGAGCTATTTCCATCGTAGTTTGAACTCTTCCTCCGGGTGCCAATGTAGTTTTGCAGGTTGTTGGATGAAGCTCGCAACTTAAGAATCAAGTTCTTCATGTTGTCTGTTTCAAGGCCATAATTCTACAGAAAAGAGAATATTTTTTTTAAAAAAATGAGTGTCCTGGTCTCTCAAAATGATCACTGAGCGCCCAAGGTGGAAGCAAAGGTAGATTATCGGGAGGCACTTATCATACTCTATAAACCTGCATACAAGGTAATCCTGAATCTGCAATAGTTCATTTAGTAAAAATTTTTACAATGGCACTGAAAAAGTGACTTATGTCCATTTTTTCCACACTTACAACACTGTGGTATCCCCATGGTCAGATGATCAAAATTCAGGCGCTTGGCAACTGACTCATAAATATGATGGTTGCAGTGTCCCAGAGTCATGTGATCGGCTGTTGTGACCTTCTGACAAGCAAAGGCAATGGAGAAGCCAGATTCACTTAACAACCAGGTTACTAACTTATCAAGTTGCAGTGACTCACTTAACAACTATGGCAAGAAAGGCCATAAAATGGGACAAAATTCACTTAACAACAGTCTCACTTAGGAACATAATTTTTGGGCTCAATCGTGGTCGTAAGTTGGGGACTACCTGTATTATCTGAGTGCAATTCCTTAAGTAGTACACATCTTTTCCAATAATGTCACTACAGCTATGGGGAAGGGAGGGCATAGAGGCATGATTTACAGGAAAGATGCAGATGTGTTAAGGTGCCCTGTGGCCACCCTTTAGGCACTGTGAAATAGTATTTATTCTTTGGAACCAAAGAACAGCACAGCCTACACTGTCAAAACCATCTCAGAGCTGGTAATCAAACTTATGTATTTTCAGGCCTTACATCAGGGGTGTCAAACTTGATTTCATTAAGAGTTGTGTTTGACCTGGGGGGGCAGCAGTGGTGGGCAGGGTGGCCATGGCCAGCTCAACATCCTGCAGCCCGTTCACAGTCCTCACGGGCTCAGTTTTCATCCGCAATGGCCTCCTGCATCCCTCTACCAGTGAAAACGAAGCCTGGAAGGGCGGTGGGCCGCCGTCCTAAGCTCAGTTTTTCCTGACAAAGGAACCATGAGCCGGTCCTTCGCTGTTTCCATGGCAGTCCCCCAGGCCAGATCTAAGCACCCTGCGGGGTGGATGCAGCCCACAGGCCTTGAGTTTGACACCCCTGTTCTACATGGATTGATTTGATGTTTTAAAGCTGGTAATCTAATATCTACTTCCTTGAAAGAAAACTCCTCTGAATTTAATAGGACTCACTTCTAAGTAGTTATGAATAAGATTATCCTGCCAAGTCAGCAGTTGTAAATTACCAATATTAAAAATACTAGTTTTAGTAAGTTAATTAAAATCTTACTTTTGATTTCTAGTATATGCTATTCCAAACATAGCCGTATTAAGTCTTTTTACAAATGACTAATAATATATGCAATTCAATGATGTGTTTCTATTATTGCATGTCACCATGCATATTATTACATCTAAATATTTGATGCTCACAAAGAGAGTTAGCTAAACGCAAGCAACCAAATCTAGGTTAGTGCTAAAACTTTTTGAAAGGGATTCCAATTAACTAATAATATTTTAGATAGAATGTTCTCAGATTGACATTGATTAATCACAAATTTCCTCCTGCTGCCCCCCAAAAAGACACGAGGCACTACACTGTATTTTTGCTTTTCTTTTTAAAAATAAAAATAACATTTAAAAAACCCCAGTTGTATGTAATGCTCAGACATTCAGTTAAAAGAGGAAACGAAATAATTTATACTTGTCTCAGCATTATATTTAAACATCCTTTTAAATCAGATTTAAAACTTGATCTAAATAATTTCACAAAATGCTTTCAATCAGTTTTTGTTCATCTACTTGACCGTAATTAAGTTGCATTTCATATATGACATTTGATTGATTGATCAATGCACATTACTTCAGACACTCACATATGTTTAAATTCATCCCTGGAGGATTAATTTAATCCTCTTAGGGGGATTAAAATAATACTTATTAGTTCAAAATCAGCATCACGACAATTCTGTCTCAAACTACAATGTGGGCCTCCATGAAGAATGAAAGTAAGTACAGGAATATGTTAAAGAGAGACAGTAATGCTTACATTTTTTTTCCTACCAAATTAAGCATGTCTGCATTCTCAAGTGCAAAGCATAAACACTAGAAAAACCACCTTAAATCTACAGTAGTTTTAAAAACATCTGGGGCATGTGGGCTGAAGCAGTATGTTAAACTACAGGTACCCACTCCAACCGGTAATAATTGCACCAAGTAGCAGTTATGCACTAAGGCCGTGATTGCTAACCATAAGTGGCACACAGAGCCATCTATCTGAGCACGCCAGCTGTTGCCCATTGCTTTTATGAGTTCCAGTATGCACATGTGCGCCGACCAGCTAGTCTTCGCAAGCACCAGGAAACTGAGCTTCCAGTTTTTGGCACACACGTGCATGCTGGCCATGTGTGCATGTGCGCATGTGTGCCAGAAACCAGAGGTCCAGGTGACCGGCATGCATGCATACGCTGGAAACTGGAAGCTCAGCCCACCAGTGTATGCATGAGCACTGGGGAGCTGCTCTTCTGGTTTCTGGTGCTTTCCTGCAAGCATGCACGCTTCCGTTTCGGCACTCAGTGCCAAAAAGGTTCGCCAACACTAAGCTAGGGGTTAACTATATAGCAATAGCACTTAGACTTATATACCGTTCCACAGGGCTTTACAGCCCTAAGAGGTTTACAGAGTCAGCATATTGCCCCCAACAATTTGGGTCCTCATTTTAGCGACTTCAGAAGGATGGAAGGCTGAGTCAACTTTGAGCCAGTCAAAATCGAACTCCTGGCAATCCGCAGAATTAACCTGCAATACTGCATTCCAAACACTGCATATATGGCCAAAGAGAAGTTCCCTCTTTCCCCTTTGGCAGGATGTTTTTACTACCGAGTTTGGTCTTAATGCAATCCTGGTTTGTTATGTGCACATGTACTGGCAAATGCATTTGCTAAAGTCTAAGTAATAAGTATGAAACAAACACAGCTATATATGTAGAAAGATGCCCTACCTGAATCGGGAGGTCCTCACAACAGTCACTCGAGCCCTTGTGATCTCTAGGCTGGAATACTGNCAAAGTCTTAGGTGCTGCAGATTGTCAGCAATTTCCTTCTCCAGCACATGGATAAATACACCTGGAAACATCTACCTACCTACCTATTCTCTCTCTCTCTCTCTTTCTCTCTCTCTCTCTCTTTCTCTCTCTCTCTCTCTCCCTACCTACTATATTTCTCTCTCTCTCTCTCTTCCTACCTACCTACTCCCTCTCTCCCCCTACCTATCTACTGTATTCCTCTATCTATTTCTTTCTATTTCTTTCTCTATATCCCTCTCCCTACTTACCTACAATATCTCTCTCCCCTACCTACCTACCATATCTCTCTCTCTCCCTCTATCTACCTGTCTACCTACCTACCTACCTACCTACCTACTCTCTCTCTCCCTACCTATCTACTGTATTTTTTCTCTCTCTATCCTTCTCTCTCTCTATCCCTCTACCTACCTACCTACCTACCTACCTACCCTCTTTCTCTCCCTACCTACCTACTGTATTTCTCTCTCTCTCTATCCCTTTATCTACCTACCTAACTACTCTCTTTCTCCCTACCTACCTACTATATTTCTCTCCCTCCATCTACCTCCTTTTTTTAAAAAAATTGCCTCTTCAAAACTTCGGTGTGTCTAATACTCTGGTGCGTCTTATACTCTGAAAAATACGGTATATCTGGACTAGACTGTATTGTATCTCTGTGTCATATACTATATGTGGGTACATGGGTATAGACCAGTGGTGAGTTCCTACCGGTTCGGACTGGTTTGGCCAAACCGGTAGTAGCTTGGTGGCCTGGGTTGCTGGAATCAGCAGTGATTCAGGCCTGCCATGCTCCCGAACCTGTTCTCCCCCCTATGGTGCTGCCATTTTGTTTTTTGCTTCTGTGCATGTGCAGAGCAATTTTCATTGTACTGTGCATCAGGCGGACTTGCGCATGCAGCCCGCACTGTGGCAATAGTGGCTGTTGGAACCCACCACTGGTATAGACATAGTTTTGTATTTATTTATTTAGTCATTTATTTATGTAGTGTATAGGGACGCAGTGGCTAAGCTGCTGAACTTGTCGATCAGAAAGGTCGGCGGTTCGAATCCCTAGCGCCGCATAACTGAGTGAGCTCCCGTTACTTGTCCCAGCTTCTGCCAACCTAGCAATTCAAAAGCATGTAAAAAATGCAAGTAGAAAAATAAGGACCACCTTTGGTGGGAAGGTAACAGCGTTCCGTGTGCCTTCGACGTTTAGTCATGCCAGCCACATGACCACGGAGACGTCTCCGCACAGCGCTGACTCTTCGGCTTTGAAATGGAGATGAACACCGCCCCCTGGAGTCAGAACGACTAGCACATATGTGCGAGGTACCTTTTACCTATGTAGTGTATATTGGAGGTGATGACCTTTTGAGAGCTGTATGCAACGGAATTTCATTTTAATGTATGCCGATTAGTGTACATTTAAAGTGACAATAAAGTTATTCTAAGTCTATGTGAGTCTAAGTGCTACTGCTATTGCTAATTATTCAGAAGCAAGGACAGTGGTTTTAAGGGGATGCGCTTCCTCACAAATGTCTTTGAAGACCACCGTGTCTCATTTAGTTTAGCGTTCTCTTAATGCACTATTAGACGAGGACTGTTTTTCATCTAGAATTTGTGTAGAGACCGTGAATTGTCTTTTAGTCCTTAAAAACGAGGCAGGGTTTCCAGCAGCGACCCGCCATTCTTTCATTATTCCTTTTGCCATTTTGTTCTTCCAAAACTGATGCTTTCTTTTTGTTAAGGAGCCCATCAAGCTCTCCCTCTCCACCGTCGCTGCCTGAAATCCAATACAGATGGACCAGACAGAATTGCCAGCTCTTCAGTGGGCTGTTTTAGGTGTGAATTTAGAAGGAATTTAATCTGCAGTAGGGAAGTTTTGCAAAGCATAGGAATAATCACGGCTGCCAACTAACTGCAGAAGGCAATGGTTGAAAACCT